GGAAGAGAAATTGGGGTGTACTCTTAGACAGCGCACCCTCATCCACTGTGCTCCAGGGCTGGGAACCTAAAGCTTAGGCTGTTCTCTGCTGGAGGAGAGCAGCAGGCTCGGGGGATGTTAAATGTGCAGCAGTGAACAGGGGGACCTGCCTATGGTTGAAACAGAACTTCACAGTGGGTGCAGCACACCCCTGTGCAGAGGGACAGCCCCAAACCTATGCAACACTTGCATCGTATATTGAGGGTAACATAGCTGTGGTAGAACATGCAAACCTTGCACGATTTGTATAACTGCTTGGTTTGGAAGGGACCTGCTGTTACAGCATTTCACAAGAAGACTTATTTTAGAAACTTGCTCTCTCGCTTGTCGTTTCATGGCAGTTCTCAATGCAACATTGGGGAAACTTGTTTTTTTGTAAGTAGTCACTTATTTGAGGGGGAAGGAACAGGTGTGCGGTTTGCTTTGGTTCTAAGATCTGAAAGCCTCTACTGTGGTTCTGTTCATGATGCTGACAATAGCACAGTACAGGTGGTTTTAGTTTTCATATCCTGGTGTGTGTCTCTGTCTCTGCATCTTGAAAGCTATGCTTTTCTGCCTGCTGTTGACAGTGTCCACTTCCTGAACTTATAAGGGAACAGATTGCTGGCTCCCTTTCTAGGGACTGATATGCTGTTGTACAAGTAGATGCACTAGATTTAGCTCATCTATACACTCAAAGGGATTTTTCTAAAATTGCATTTTTAAATCCGGGCCCTTCCTCTTTGGTTAACCAGTAACGTTCATTGTGGGTCATTGTTTTCTCACAAAAGTTAATTCATCATTATTTTGCTATCCTGCCACCTCTAAACAAATCTTAACTAACAAGGGTCATGTTATGTCTTTCTTCTACGTTCTCGTTCTGTTGGGCTGGTTCAAGTGAATGTTCTGTCCTCCTTCCAGGAGATGGAGACGGTGGTTGAGATCGTTAGCGGGCATAAATTGAGGTAGCTCCATTGACATCAGTGGAACTGTATCAGTTTCCAACCTCTGAGGCTCTAACTCAGCAAATGGATTGTGAAGAAGAAAATGTAGTGGGGAAATGTGGCATATCTCTGAGGTCCCCTCTTCTGCCAAAAAGTGGTGTTGACAACTAAAACTTCACGGGCACTGCGGTCTAGTGAATAGGACACTGGACTAAAAGTCGGGAGGCCTGGGTTCTTTTCTCAGATCTGCTGCTGACCTGCTGTGAGACTTTGGGCAAGTCTCTTCACCTCTTTGTGACTTTGTTTCCCCTCTCACCCTTTCTCTTCCTTTTCTGATTTAGATTGTCACTGTGGGTCAGGAACTGTTGCTTACTGTGTGTATGGGTACGTTAATGGGAGTATTGCTATTGAGTTCAGTGGGATCAGAATCTGGCCCTTAATTTCCCTGTGTTGGGATGGGGGAACTCAAAGTTTTGATCTTTGTATTACAACAGGTTCTATTGACCTTAATTCCAATATCTTCCTCCCTCTGCTTTCCTTCTAAAAGGGTGTCACTTAAAACAAGCTTTCTTTATGAGTTACTCACAAGGAATATACTTTAAAGTCTCCTCTAGTTAATACTTTAATTTACTTTATAATGTGTGGCACTTACAGTGCCTTTCATCAGGTCAGAGCACAGTTCTGTAAAAATATAATGAGTTAAACCACATCACCAATGTGAGGGGGGCAAGTATTGTCCCCAGAGAAGTGAAATGACTTGCTGAAAGTTGTACCGTAAATCACTGGCAGAGCTGGGAATAGATCTCCTGGCTTCAAGATTGCTCCTTTAACCCAAGAGAATGATATTAGAACAGTAATTGAGTTCGCTAACAATGGAGACCATGTTGCAAACATGGCGCTGGTTGTAATCTGTCAGAGGGCCAAGCTACATTAGTGTTCAAAGGGTTCGGTTTGGGAAGAGACCTAAAAACCTTGGATGCTTTCCCCAGACATAATCAGAATTTTCAGAGGTCTCTTTCCCTGTCCCCTTACTCACAATGAGATACCTTAACAGAGATAGATGAACCAGCTGAGTGCTGGAGACAGAGTGAGGGAAGGCCAGGATGGTAGCCAGAGGAGTTCTGTTGCAGAGCCAAATTGGTTTGGTTTTGAGTCAAGTTTTGCTTGGTGGCTGATTGTTTTAAAGCCATGGAGAGCCCTCTGAAATCAATATATTCGTAGAGGATGGTGTATTATTTTTTTTGCTCTCAAAAGATTTTTCCAACCCATTGTCTCTTCCTTTCTGCAAGAGGCTGCAAACTACCGCTGGCTTCCCTCATTCCAGCCAGAAAGCGTGAAAGGTGTCTGTAGTGCCTTCTGTCGCTGACCACAAAGGCCTGTTTTCAGGAGTGCTGAACAGCTGAGCCCTACCAGAGCTGCTCAAGATACTCTCCCATTGCAGATTTTCTGTGATGCTTATTTGTGGTCTCGGCACTGAAACAACAAATGCACAGATGTAGGGATATTTACAGTGCGGGCTCAATTTGTTTTACAAATATTGATGAGAAACGGTTTGTTTGGCAGCAGTATTCTCCGCTCCCTTAAGCAGAGAATTCTGGCTTCAGTCTCCATGCCCTGCTGTAGTGAGCTCCCTTTGCTTTCGGATGTGTGCGTTGGCAAGGCTGTCATTCCTGCAGAGTTGTATTTGCTGTCTTCGGCTCGGCTCCCCGTGGGGACGACAGCGCTACCTCTTCTATTGGCCGTGCTCGCTGCTATCTCAAGGCACAGTGGTTTTTGCTCCTTTTTGCAGGAGAAAGCAAGAGTATATTGCGCCCCCGACAAAGCTTCTTGTTATTGATCTGTTGTTGAGCACTAGCTGAGCTCTCTCTGCTGTGTGAAATACGGAGGAAGATGCAGGCCTTGCCACCGGAAGTTTTCTGTCTAAATAACCTACTTTACATGTAAACCAGCTTCCCCACTCGTGGTTTTCCATGGGTCAAGCAAGAAATTAGGTTTGAGCTCTCCAGTGCTGACGGAAATAGAGCAGCCTCTGGAGGGCCAGGAAGACTTGGCTGTGCATAGACTCTAGGGGAAGAGTTGGTCGCTTGCCCAGTTAGCATGGAGAAAAGTTATTACAAGGATAGCCGAGTTCCTTCAGAATAGATGTGACTGGCTTCCCTGTGATGCTTTGGACACAGTTCTGCAATGTGCTGAGCACCTTCCTTTCCCAGGCCTCTGGGATTTATTCACGTGCATCAGTCCCTTGCTAGAGCAGGGCCCTATTGTAGATGGGCTCTGGGGCCTCTTAGCGCTTCGCAGCATAAGGCCTTTACTCAGCAGCTAGATTTGAAGCGATTCATATTGGCTTAAGCCCTGGCAGAAAGGAGCTGACCCCTAATAAGGGGGTGCTGGTGGAATTTGTCAAAATGTCAAAGTGAGGACTCTTGGTTCCTATCTGAGGTACTGTAGGTGGCTCGGTACATAATGAAACAGGAAGCGTTCAATTATGAATAAAACACCTGCAAACGATGTGACAAAAATACTTACATTTTATTTCAGCCTTTCCATGTTTTAATTAGGAAGCCCACACTGAGGCGTTTGATGTTGAATGAATTGCAGCGTGTGAGATGTCGGAATGTTGAATTAATGATGTCTGGTGAGATGCAGTCTTACGCGTGACATCTACTTTTTGCTGCTGTCTCTTTAAACAGAAAGCTCCCGTTATGTTTCAAGATCTAGTGCATCAGTTCTGGATTAGAAACTAAAAGCTAACTATATGAGGGTTCAGTAAACCTTCATATTGTATGTGGACGGGGAGAGCTGCTGGCAAGATAAGGTTTCTTATGAACTGCTCTGGTTTGGGCTCTAGCGCTCAGTGAGGCACCCTAAATACAAACTAAGACTCAGGAAGTGTAGTCTAATAGCTAGAGCAAGGAACTGGGAGTCAGGACTTCTGAGTTCTATTCCCAGCTCTGCCACTGACTGTTTATAATTTTGGGCAATTAACTTAAGTCTCCAAGCCTCAGTTTATCAGACAAATGGATAGATCAACACCTAACTCCCATGGATGTTGTAAGGCTTAAATAGTTAATTTTTATCAAGTGTTTGGAGATTTTTGAATGGCAAAAGTACAAAGTTAAAATAAGTATTACTTCTTATTGTACATTTAATGCGTCCAGATGCTAATGTGGTGGGCATACAAATCATCAAAAAGGGCTTGATATTTCGGTAAGAGTCTAGTTCAGCTTTCACAAATGCAGGCGTGGATCTGGCTGTAAGTTTGCAGGGGAACTGAAATGGGGAATAGAAAGCTTAACTTGTTTGAAAAGAGCGAATTATTTTCGACCCTTATTGTGACTGTAAAATAGGATATGTGGTTAAAATAGGGTGATTTAAGAGCTGTTTGTGGTGCAGCGTGAGGCTCCCCACTGTGTGCGTCTGATTGGCTTACTCTACCTAGTGGCCCTGCCACTGCAGATCTTCCATGTGCACAGCTCCCATTGTGCTCCCTGGAGTTCCATGTACTGAGAGGATGCAGGATTGGGGCTATGAATTGGTGATATGTATAATGGGTAAATCAAAAGAACTGTGTCACGTGTAATAGGACAGTTCTTTGGGCCCTTTGTAGCAAATGTTAGCATGGCCTTGCAGTGACAAGTATAAACTGTGAAATGATGTAAACTTATTTCTGTGTTGGAGTGTGATGGCAGAATCCCACTGTTGTTATACTGCTTGGGTTGAAGTTCCATCACTTGTTACTCGGCCCTGGTCTACACTAGGACTTTAGGTCGAATTTAGCAGCGTTAAATCGATGTAAACCTGCACCCGTCCACACAATGAAGCCCTTTATTTCGACTTAAAGGGCTCTTAAAATCGATTTCCGTACTCCACCCCGACAAGTGGATTAGCGCTTAAATCGACGTTGCCAGCTCGAATTTGGGGTACTGTGGACACAATTCGATGGTATTGGCCTCCGGGAGCTATCCCAGAGTGCTCCATTATGACCGCTCTGGACAGCACTCTCAACTCAGATGCACTGGCCAGGTAGACAGGAAAAGAACCGCGAACTTTTGAATCTCATTTCCTGTTTGGCCAGCGTGGCAAGCTGCAGGTGACCATGCAGAGCTCATCAGCAGAGGTGACCATGATGGAGTCCCAGAATCGCAAAAGAGCTCCAGCATGGACCGAACGGGAGGTACGGGATCTGATCGCTGTTTGGGGAGAGGAATCCGTGCTATCAGAACTCCGTTCCAGTTTTCGAAATGCCAAAACCTTTGTCAAAATCTCCCAGGGCATGAAGGACAGAGGCCATAACAGGGACCCGAAGCAGTGCCGCGTGAAACTGAAGGAGCTGAGGCAAGCCTACCAGAAAACCAGAGAGGCGAACAGCCGCTCTGGGTCAGAGCCCCAAACATGCCGCTTCTATGATGAGCTGCATGCCATTTTAGGGGGTTCAGCCACCACTACCCCAGCCGTGTTGTTTGACTCCTTCAATGGAGATGGAGGCAATACGGAAGCAGGTTTTGGGGACGAAGAAGAAGATGATGATGAGGAGGTTGTAGATAGCTCACAGCAAGCAAGCGGAGAAACCGGTTTTCCCGACAGCCAGGAACTGTTTCTCACCCTAGACCTGGAGCCAGTACCCCCCGAACCCACCCAAGGCTGCCTCCTGGACCCAGCAGGTGGAGAAGGGACCTCTGGTGAGTGTACCTTTTAAAATACTATACATGGTTTAAAAGCAAGCATGTGAAAGGATTACTTTGCCCTGGCATTTGCGGTTCTCCTAGATGTAGTCCTAAAGCCTTTGCAAAAGGTTTCTGGGGAGGGCAGCCTTATTGCGTCCTTCATGCTAGGACACTTTACCACTCCAGGCCAGTAACACGTACTCGGGAATCATTGTAGAACAAAGCATTGCAGTGTATGTTTGCTGGCATTCAAACAACATCCGTTCTTTATCTCTCTGTGTTATCCTCAGGAGAGTGAGATATAATTCATGGTCACCTGGTTGAAATAGAGTGCTTTTCTTCAGGGGACACTCAGAGGAGCCCATTCCTGCTGGGCTGTTTGCCTGTGGCTAAACAGAAATGTTCCCCGCTGTTAGCCACAGGGAGGGGGTAGTCACGCGGTGGGAGGAGGCAAAATGCCACCTTGTAACGAAAGCACATGTGCTATGTATGTAATGTTAACAGCAAGGTTTACTCTGAAAGAGTGTAGCCACTGTTTTATAAAATGTGTCTTTTTAAATACCGCTGTCCCTTTTTTTTTCTCCACCAGCTGCATGTGTTTCAATGATCACAGGATCTTCTCCTTCCCAGAGGCTAGTGAAGCTTAGAAAGAAAAAAAAAAAACGCACTCGCGATGAAATGTTCTCCGAGCTCATGCTGTCCTCCCACACTGACAGAGCACAGACGAATGCGTGGAGGCAAATAATGTCAGAGTGCAGGAAAGCACAAAATGACCGGGAGGAGAGGTGGCGGGCTGAAGAGAGTAAGGGGCGGGCTGAAGACAGGGCTGAAGCTCAAATGTGGCGGCAGCGTGATGAGAGGAGGCAGGATTCAATGCTGAGGCTGCTGCAGGACCAAACCAGTATGCTCCAGTGTATGGTTGAGCTGCAGCAAAGGCAGCTGGAGCACAGACTGCCACTGCAGCCCCTCTGTAACCAACCGCCCTCCTCCCCAAGTTCCATAGCCTCCACACCCAGACGCCCAAGAACGCGGTGGGGGGGCCTCCGGCCAACCAGCCACTCCACCACAGAGGATTGCCCAAAAAAAAGAAGGCTGTCATTCAATAAATTTTAAAGTTGTAAACTTTTAAAGTGCTGTGCTTAAAGTGCTGTGTGGCATTTTCCTTCCCTCCTCCACCACCCCTCCTGGGCTACCTTGGTAGTCATCCCCCTATTTGTGTGATGAATGAATAAAGAATGCATGAATGTGAAGCAACAATGACTTTATTGCCTCTGCAAGCGGTGATTGAAGGGAGGAGGGGCGGGTGGTTAGCATACAGGGAAGTAGAGTGAACCAAGGGGCGGGGGGTTTCATCAAGGAGAAACAAACAGAACTTTCACACCGTAGCCTGGCCAGTCATGAAACTGGTTTTCAAAGCTTCTCTGATGCGTACCGCGCCCTCCTGTGCTCTTCTAACCACCCTGGTGTCTGGCTGCGCGTAACCAGCAGCCAGGCGATTTGCCTCAACCTCCCACCCCGCCATAAACGTCTCCCCCTTACTCTCACAGATATTGTGGAGCACACAGCAAGCAGTAATAACAATGGGAATATTGGTTTCGCTGAGGTCTAAGCGAGTCAGTAAACTGCGCCAGCGCGCCTTTAAACGTCCAAATGCACATTCTACCACCATTCTGCACTTGCTCAGCCTGTAGTTGAACAGCTCCTGACTACTGTCCAGGCTGCCTGCGTACGGCTTCATGAGCCATGGCATTAAGGGGTAGGCTGGGTCCCCAAGGATACATATAGGCATTTCAACATCCCCAACAGTTATTTTCTGGTCTGGGAATAAAGTCCCTTCCTGCAGCTTTTGAAACAGACCAGAGTTCCTGAAGATGCGAGCATCATGCACCTTTCCCGGCCATCCCACGTTGATGTTGGTGAAACGTCCCTTGTGATCCACCAGAGCTTGCAGCACTATCGAAAAGTTTATGTGGTTTATGTACTCGGCGGCTTGGTGCTCCGGTGCCAAGATAGGGATATGGGTTCCGTCTATAGCCCCACCACAGTTAGGGAATCCCATTGCAGCAAAGCCATCCACTATGACCTGCACATTTCCCAGGGTCACTACCCTTGATATCAGCAGATCTTTGATTGCGTGGGCTACTTGCATCACAGCAGCCCCCACAGTAGATTTGCCCACTCCAAATTGATTCCCAACTGACCGGTAGCTGTCTGGCGTTGCAAGCTTCCACAGGGCTATCGCCACTCGCTTCTCAACTGTGAGGGCTGCTCTCATCTTGGTATTCATGCGCCTCAGGGCAGGGGAAAGCAAGTCACAAAGTTCCATGAAAGTGCCCTTACGCATGCGAAAGTTTCGCAGCCACTGGGAATCGTCCCAGACCTGCAACACTATGCGGTCCCACCAGTCTGTGCTTGTTTCCCGAGCCCAGAATCGGCGTTCCACAGCATGAACCTGCCCCATTAGCACCATGATGCATGCATTGGCAGGGCCCATGCTTTCAGAGAAATCTGTGTCCATGTCCTGATCACTCACGGGACCGCGCTGACGTCGCCTCCTCGCCCGGTATCGCTTTGCCAGGTTCTGGTGCTGCATATACTGCTGGATAATGCGTGTGGTGTTTAATGTGCTCCTAATTGCCAAAGTGAGCTGAGCGGCCTCCATGCTTGCCTTGGTATGGCGTCTGCACAGAAAAAAGGCGTGGAACGATTGTCTGCCGTTGCTCTGACGGAGGGAGGGGCGACTGACGACACGGCTTACAGGGTTGGCTTCAGGGAGCTAAAATCAACAAAGGGGGTGCCTGTACATCAAGGAGTATTTCAGGCAGGACTTCACGGAGGGTTCCAATAAGAAATGGTGCACCTAAGTTATCGTTCTTATTGGAACAAGGAGGTTAGCCTGGCCTCTGATTGATACATGGCTAGATTTACCTCGCTGCACCTTTTCTGTGAGTGACTGCAGAGTGACCTAGAGGAATGAGTCCCCTAGACAGGGGAGGAGGCAAATGAGTACAAAACAAATCTGGTCTATTTCTTGTTTTGACCCACTCCATCTATCTTTTACATCTTTGGCTGGCAGCAGACAGTGCAGAACATGCCATCCACATCTCATGGCTGCTCGGCAGAAGATGGTACAGTACGACTGCTAGCAGTCCGTATCGCCTGCCGGCTCACCATAAGACGGTTCAATAGGACTGACTGCAGGACTAAAGAGAATGACCTGGTCAAGTCACTCCAAATTTAGTCCCTGCGCCCATGTCTGCCCAGGCGCTCCCAGCCGACGTGGCCAGGAGCACCTCGGACATGACGATGACGGCTACCAGTCGTACTGTACCGTCTGCTGCCACAAGGCAAGGGGTTGCTGCTACTGTGTAGCAATGCCGTACCGCGTCTGCCAGCACCCAGGAGACATAGGGTGACGGTTACCTGAGCGGGCTCCATGCTTGCAGTGGTATGGCGTCTGCACAGGTAACTCAGGAAAAAAGGCGCGAAATGATTGTCTGCCCTTGCTTTCACGGAGGGAGGGAGGGAACGGGGGCCTGACGATATGTACCCAGAACCACCCGCGACAATGTTTTAGCCCCATCAGGCATTGGGATCTCAACCCAGAATTCCAATGGGCAGCGGAGACTGTGGGAACTGTGGGATAGCTCCCCACAGTGCAATGCTCCGGAAGTCGACTCTAGCCTCGGTACTGTGGAAGCGCTCCGCCGAGTTAATGCACTTAATGCACTTAGAGCATTTTCTGTGGGGACACACACACTCGAATATATAAAACCGATTTCTAAAAAACCGACTTCTATAAATTCGACCTTATTCCGTAGTGTAGACATACCCTCAGATAGCTTTGGCCTAAACAAAGGAAAACCCAACCCCAGCTTGCAAAGCGCTGTAAAGCACTGAGATCTGGTTTGGAAGGTAACCAATCATTCTCAGATTAGTTTGCAATAGATGGGGCAGATCTAGATTGCATCTGGGTGGAGAGGGAAGGGATGGGTGGAATGTGGCAAATGGGCAGGAGAGCAAATCAGTTGGAATTGAGTGGGGGCGGGGGATTAAGGAAGGGAAATAGGTTATTTGGGAGATGTGGTCAGGAAGACGTGGCAAAGGGTCTCTAGAGAACCTTTACACTCTAAAATGATATTCACAACACTGATGCCTCTTTCTGCCCCAAATTCCTACCCCCAAGAAAAGAGGAAACAAATAAAATCTTCTAAAAAGGAAAAATGAAAGAGCCAAGCTCCCTTCCCCAACCAGTGCTGTGACTTTGAAAACGGACAGGTGCCAAGAACTCCATAAAGTCCACCATGAACTTTGCTATCCCTGTTGATCGTACATAAAAGGTGCTCTGATGCTACCATGTTGGGTGGCAATATGAGACTAAGATAGATGGAGAGATAGAAGTGGGAATTGTGTAAGAATGTTTGCAGGTCTCCCTTTAGTACACTAGTACAGTGGCTAAATGCTGGCATTCTGCCAAACAGTCTTTGGAGGACACTTACGAGTAGCCTGGGGTATTTTGGACTTGTGGCTCTCCTGCCCTATTTGTATAACTGGGTATTTGAATTTGGTATCCCCATCTGATTTAGCTTCTTCTGGAATCCCAGGAATTTGTCTGCTGCTCTGTGATAACATTTTTGGTTTAGTATCATTTTCCCAATTATGGAAATTGGTTTTAAAAACCAAACCCAAACAAGTGCATATTGCTTTGGCTTTGAGTAACATCCTTCATCAAACACACACGGTGCTTTTTAACGTAGGTCCCAAACAGAAACAAAGCTGTTTGTGTGGGTCCCATCTGCTGTCACAGTGCATGTACTCAGATTTAGCACATCCAGACTGTTTGTTCGTTAGGGAAATGCCATCTGGCCTAAGATGCCTTGCTCTTGGGTTGGTCCTAATCCCACCTTCCTGCTTCCATGTCATATACCTCAGTCCTGCCTACCTCCTCCAGAAATGGGTGTAGGTGGCTGATGAATGCCTTTGTAAGATGTTGCTCTCCTTCCCTTCCGATATCATATTGTATTTGTTAGCTGTTGGGTGAAATAGTTCTCTCTGACTTTCCCATTTCCTAATGTTTTGAATACAGAATGTTTTTGTAGGGTCTGTAGTAAATTAATTAGTTTAATTACTGGGGTTGGAAGAGAGGGACTTTTAAGAGTCTAAAATCCATCTCAGTTTTTGTGACTGAAAGTGGAAATAAGAGCTGGTCAAAAATGGGATGCAAATTTATTTTATCTATTTATTGCATTTTGCCCCCCCATTTATTTATTTTATTTACAGTGTAGACATACCCTGTATTGCCTCTGCTCCTTAAATCTTTTAGTCTTTAAGGTGCCACCGGACTCATCGCTGTTTTTCTGCTACCTACAGCACCCATTGTAAACATTTCTCACTCATTGGGAATAGCTCCACTGTAAGAATATAAGCTATTTTATAATTATACTATTCCTTTAGATTGGGCAAAGGAGCAGGCTTGTCATCAGTGGATTTCAGCATGGTGAGTCGGCTCAGCCTTTGGGCTGCTAGATGTAAAACTCTTCAAGCCCTGGTGTATTCTATTAGTTCAGAAGAATTATGAGAGCATCTAACTAACAACTACTGGAATGCATGCGCATAAGGGGCAGCGCTCAGATCGTGCGTTCAACCTTCCCATTTGTTTTCTGATTATCTGAATTGCCGATTAACTGCGGAATGTTAACATTCATGTTATTTGCTAAAATTGAATAAACATAACCTCCGTTTTCTTGCATTTAGTGCTTAATAATCCACTTTAAACATTCTCTAGATAACTCTCCCAGTTCATCGAATACATGTGCAAAGCCGCAACCAAAGAATAATACATTATATAACAGCTTCTGTGTATATGTGGATGATATTACCTAGAAGTATTTTAATATATATTTAATTCTAATGTGAATTCAAACATATACTTATCGCCTTCTGTTGATCACAACATTGTTACCATAATTTGGAATCTCCTAGGCCAAGATCCAACAGTTTAGATGGAGTCTAGTAGAATTTACAATGAGAGGGGTGCTTTTTTTTAAAGAAGAAATGACGCTTGCTTGCTTTCTGCACAGCCTTTGATTGCTTTTTTTAATATCTCCGTTTTATTTCGATGCGGGTTTGTGTGTTGCTATCCCACCTTATTAATTCGGAACTCCAAGGAAAATACCATTCATTATAACATTGTGGCTTTCTGCAGAGCTGGAAGATCATGGTGTATAAATGGTTCTTTT